TAGTAATAAAATTAGTTAGTCCCACTATTATGACTATAGAGAGGTTTTACTGTATATATATGTATGTTACATTTAAGGTTTAAGATGAAATAAATTATTTATTTAAAGTTGTTTGGGAAAATGATTTATGTTTTAAAGTTGTTACTACATCTTTTAACTTGCGGGTACGCAATAACTCGCTAGTATTGGCACCTTTTTGTTAAAGCCAAAATATTTATAGCTTCTCAAGCATGTTTAGAGTTTCTTGGCATAAACTTTTTTGTATTTCCATGCTATTATTCTCATGATTATTTATTTTCCCTTATTATTTAATTGCAACAATAATTACTAAAATAATGAATTGGAATCTTAACACATACTACTAAAACGTGAATTATAAAATAAGAAATCAAAACAGTAATTTTTATAATTATATATCTATTAAGTTATAACCTCTTTATAATAATAAATTAATTTGATCCAATTATTATGACTATACAGAGATTTTAGTGTATATATACATATATAGCAATAATAAAAAGGGAAATGGTTTTTGCTTTTTAGCCCCATCTTGAAGTTTAGTGTGGGATATAATTGTAATAAAAAAAATGTATATTTTTACTTCAAACTTAAAAAATTAACAATAAAATATGAAATCAAATCAATCAATATCGTTATCAGTTATCACACAATTATAAATTAATTTGTTTATGAAATCAAAACTTCAAAGCTCTTACCACCAAGTAATCACTTTTAAACCTATCTTGGCGGAAGAAAAATATTGTTTCATTCCCATTAAAAACATAACGCCTAGAAATATGTGATACACAAATCTCAAAACTTTTACGATCAAGTAATCAATTATAAATTTTATTGTAACAAAAGAAAATTCTAATTAATGAAATTTGTGATGCTTGATTTGATTGATTTTAACTCATATTTTATAATTAATTATTATTAATATAAATTTACTTTTAATTTTAATTTGGATAATGGTAAAAATAAAGCTTTGAAGTAAAAGTATAGAAAAAGATTTTTTTTATCTCCACTTAAACTTCTAGATGGCAATAAAGACAAAAAATAACGGGTTTTAAAAATCACTTCCTTGAACCATTAATCTTACGGTTGGATGACAATATTTTAATTATCTGGGTGAATTACTCATATATCTTATGTTTGAGTCTCATAAAATGGTTATTTATTAAATTTGTGACTTACCAAATCTATTGCTTTTATAAGAAAAAAAAAATATTATTGTTGTCGTTTAGAAATGTACCGGGGCTTACTCAGAATGATTCATTGCAAAGGATAATAGGCCCAGCCCAAAATAAGCATAATTAATTCATCCCTGTTGGCGGTTAAGGCTAAACTGGAAACTGGTTGGTTACTCTCACTGCACCAGTGCCATTAACAAACCTTAACAACGATTAATGTTTTGCTCTTGCTTTATATCACTTCCTTTCTCCATCGCTCTTCGCAATTGCGAAACCCTAGACCACAATTATGGACTCCAGTAACAAAATGAAAAGCAAGATCGAGCAAGACGATGATACGGATCACAGAACGAAGATGCTTCATCATGCTCTGAAGCAGCAATCGAAAGCCGAGATTCACTCTCGACTCAAACGCTCGCTCACGGAAAGGAATTTCTCGTCTTCCTCGACTCCGTACGACAATAGAGGCCAACCTGAAAAGAAGCACAGAAGCTCTGAGAATTCTCCTCGCCATGACTGCAAAACCGAAGGAGAAGATGAACGGGAGGGGAAAGTGCAAGGATCAGAGAGTGATCAAGGAAGTGAATTGAAGGAAACTGGTTACGTGGCGTCTCGAAGTGAGTCAGAGGATGAAGATGACTTGAATGATGGTAGTTCTGATGACGATGAACAGGAGGAGGATAGTCAAGGGTCTGAAGACGAGGTAAAATTTGAATTGGTGTCGTTACGTTCCTTGTGCAGTTGTGCGGTTAAATTTTCTGTATGTTTCGTTACAAACTTGAAGTAAAGGACTTTTATTCCTGTTTGTGTTTAATTTATTGGATTTATCTTGTTGAACTGCAGGAAGATTTAGTAGAACTTGGTATGTTACCGAACAAGCTCGCTGTTGTTAACATGGACTGGAGAATTTTTAAGGTGCCTGAAAAACGGATGTTTTCGAATCGTATGAATTATTTTGTATTCGTTAATAACTTGGCTTTATGAATGATGTAATGTACCTACACTTTTGTTTAAACAAATTGCGCCAACTAGGGGATAATATTTCAGTTGTCGTCTTATTAGTGAGTTTATGCTCAGTTTTTCTTTTGGTGATGTAGGCTTGTGACTTGTTTGGAATATTGACCTCGTTTCTGCCGAAAGACGGACGGATTTTGTCTGTGGCAGTCCATCCAACTGAATTTGGAATTCAGTGTATGAAAGTGGAGAAAGTCCATGGTCCTTTTGGTCTATTTGGTAGTGAACATAAGAACTGTGATGGAGAAGACATTGAATTAACTTATGAAGAGAAATTGCGTGCTTATGAGAAAAGTACACTCAGGTAATTGAAATCTTTTCTTTTTTCAACAGTGTAATTTCAGTAGCTGTTTCATTGATGGGATGGAAGCCACTGTGATGTCGTTGGGATCCCAACTCATCCTTGTCTCTGAAAAGCACAGAAAACCAGCGGCTGTTATGGGACAGAAGCCTCAGTGATGTTGTTGGGAATTGATTTCACGTTGTTTGGTTGAGTCGTCAAATTTATTGTCCATGAAGGCATTTAGTTATATCATCCATAAAAGCAAGCTCTATTTTAGAACCTAAAGCTTTTGGCATAGCTTACAAGTTAATCTATGGATTTTAACCCCATTAAATCATTCTTAGTGGACTCAGTGAAATGAAATGTTATTTCTTTTATCATAATTTTGTTTTCTCTCTTTTTCAGGTACAATTATGCTGTAGTGGAATGTGATTGCAGTAGAACAGCAGACCATCTTTACAAAGCTTGTTATGGACGTCAGTTTGAAGGATCATCAATCAAGCTTATTTTGAAATTCATTCCTGACAATATGGAATTTCAATATCCACCACAGGATGTTGCAACAGAGGTATGCTTTTTGCCGTATGATTGAAATGAGCCAAGATATGTGTAATACATGCACAATAAAGTTCTCTGTACTTGTAGCAATAAAAGTGGGGTTATTGAGTACCATAATAGTAGCAAACTACTGATGTTCATGCTTTTTCGCTGCAGCTAAATTATTCTCACATATTTTTACTAATTGAGAGATACTTGGACTTGTGATGTAATTGCAATTATAAAAATATTAATAATACTTGTTTCTGTTCAGGTTCCTGCAAACTATAAGGGTTTAGATTTTTATACCAAAGCACCACAGGTGGACAGAAATGTTGATCTTTCTTTGGATGACAAGGCACCAATTCCTGCAATGACTTTTAGTCAAAAATTTATTGCTGATCAGGTTGGTATGCTTGATTTGGGATTTCTTTAAAGCATATTTTTTATAGTAACACTAGCCTTACAAAAAGGCATACAAAAGCCATAAAGAGACAATCGCTACCCTTAAAATTCATGATGGTCTCTCTCTCTCTCTCTCTCTTTCTTTTTCCCTTCTTTTAAGGATAGAGATTGTCTCTTTGTATGCCTCTTTGTAAGGCTAGTGTTACTCTATTTTTTATGATTCTTTTATTGAGTTTTGTGAAATGTCAGTCTGCTACAACATGGAGTTTATTTTCTGTGTTGTATTTTATTATGTATCTTCTTCAAGGGTTATTTATTTTCTCTTTCATACTGATACAATCTCTTTCCATGCAGCTGGCTGAATTGGATCCGTCTAATCCACTGCTCAAAAGGTATTAGCAAATATGGATCCAAAATCAATTTCACTTTCATTCTAAAACAAGAATTAATATGAATCAAAACACTTTGTTTGACTAAAAGAGAGTAGTACATAGAAGCATATTGAAGTTTTTAGGATTGTGTGTTGTAGGAGTGCTACATATGCTCTGCAAGTATCACAAAGACAACAAAATAATATTGATGAAAGGGAAGCCGTGGCTAATGAAGTAAATAGTTCTGATATAGACCCTTTAAAGAAGATAGAAAGGTCCGACTTTTCTTCAATTCTTAGGGTACTTGAGATGAAGTCAAAGCATTTTGAGATCATTTTTAAATATTTGAAGTAGTTTAATTTGCCTGTGTAAAAGTATCGATGTAAAACTTGACCCCTTTTATTATATTACTGGAATGATTGTAAAAGTTGTCGAATTCACAAATGGTAATATATGTAAAACTTCCAGTAGAGTAGAAAAAAGAAAAACATTTTCTTAAATTTTCTTAAGTTTTCATATTAATTCTTATAATTTTTTTTTTCAGAATTAATTCTTATAATAAAAGTATCTGACTTGAGACAGAATTATCATGGCCGTGGGGGCTCATTTTGAAATTTTAGTGGGGTTTTTTCCAAATTGAGGCCCAGCCCAAAGTTAGAGCCTCTTGAAGGATTTATTTGATTCAATACTTTTATCTCATTTTATTTTAGTCTCCCATTTTATTTATTTATTTATTATATATTTTATACGAGTCTTAATCCTAATTTGAATTTAACTAAATTTGAAGAATGTTGTGACATGAATTTTAACTTATGTATGGTCAAAGATTTACTTTCTTTTTATATTTATTTTATTTAACTACTAATTTCAAAATTATAATCCAGTTCGAAATACAAAGAAAATATATTAATCTCTCATGCTTTCATCTTGTCAAGAGGTTGAAGGTTAAGAATCTTAGTACAAACTCCAAAGGTTAATACTATATTTACAATTCAATTTCACAGATTTTTTCTGACAACCTTGACATGGCAGTTCGTAATTGGTCAGTTTACAATGGATTCCGTTTGTCCAATTACAAGCTATGATTTGGGATTGTAAAAGAAAGTTTGTAAGATTGGTTCGTGATGCCATATTTATTGAACTCCAAAACTGTCGCACAACTAGTAATAGTAATATTACAAGAACTATCTTGTCAAATCTGGAGAATCTATTCTCTTATTGCCTGTTATATATATATGTGCACCAAAGTGCTTCTGGGAGCATGTACTAGTTATACATATGATACAGGATTTGAAGAAACCCTTGGCACAGGAAAAGAAAAGATCAAACGGTGGCTAAAAAGGAAATAAGAAGGATTATAAGAGCACAAGTGAAAGGGTCTAATGTAACATGGGTGAATGACTTCCTCCAGTTGGTGCAGATATGGGAAAGTTATCACCATTCCCTCTTTATGCAGGTGCGGGTGCAGATATGGAAGAGTTATCTTCATTCCCAGTCCTGGATTCTGGTTTGACAGCAGTAGCTGGTGGAACGCCAGAATTCTTAGCCGGGCTAACTGGCATAATGCTGCTGGTGCTCACATCATTACCTGAAGATATATGTATGGAAAAGTTCAAGAGAAGGAAAATATAAACCATGAAGCCAAATTTAGATGGAAAAATTATACTCACAGTTGGATGCCTTCCAACCCAAAACATTCTTCTCTCGATCGAAGACTATAGTATAACCACTCATGAAGTTTTCTGGATTAAATGATAAGCAACAATTACAACATGCATACTTGTAGACATACATTATTGCTGTTAGTATATATAATTCTGAAGCACTTTAACATATTATTTATCAACAATTACAAATGCACCTTTAGCGATTTTTTTTTTTTTTTTTTTTTTTTTTTTCTTTTTGTTAACCGAAGGTGTTCAGACCAGCTTCGCACACCTTAACTAATCCCCAAAGATCCTGAAGTTGATGACCGGAAAAATCCTTTTAGTGGTTATTCTATTAGCCACCCAAATGGTCAAATTCAAGATCTCTTTGAGTTATACACTTAAGAGTTTTGGTTGACTGTTGGGCCACCCAATGGTGTTAAGCCATACCCCAGGTGGTTAACATTTCTTTCTTGTTTTATAATAAGAGAACAACAAATATTATGAATCTGATCAATATACGTCCCTAAAGCATGCCTTCTGCCATCCCTTTACTCACCTACTACCATGACTATATTAAAAATAAAATTAATGGACAAAAATACTCACGTCCAATGATGTTCACATCATCACTTTTGACAAGGGCAAGACAATATAAACTGATATCCTGAAAACAAAACAATGAATTTTCATCATCAGTGTGAGACAACCCAGAGTGAAAATCATTGCAGTAGAAGTGAGAACTTAACCTCATCGGAACCTATGATTATTGGGTCATTGACATAATATGGGTTGCCACCTTTCATTGTTAAATTCACATATGGATAGCTGACGTTAGATTGATTTGAGCTGCTTGCAAGTAAAGACAAAGTTAGTGATAGATTTCAAAAGGTTAAAAAAAAAAAAAAAAAAAAAAAAGGGTTGTGGACTTTTACCCACCCAAATAATGGTTTAATAACCTTTTCCACCTACAGACTTTTAAAATACAATTTTATTTCCCAAATTTATATTCCATTTATAATTCCGGCATCGTTGTGACCTCACACCACCACCATTCTCTTCCCCAATCATCACTCACTAAAATCCCTTAAACCCTACTCTCGCCGATCTCATCAATCGTCGACAATCGAGTGATTATGATTTGCACAACCATCTTTCCTAAGTCAAATTCTGATCCATCACCAAAAGACTCATCGGCCTCTTCTCTTCAAAAGCTTTAATGGCTTAGACTGAGTTTGCTCTCTGTTTGTCATCGAAATACAAATTTGGGTAATAAAGTAGTATTTTAAAAAGTTGTGAGTGAAAAAGTATCATTAAGTTATTATTTGGGTGGGAAAAGGTTGTTAGCTTAAAAAAAACTAGTCCTTTGCATGTAGAAATGAAATGACCTCAAAATATAACAATACTCAAAAGGAAGCTTAGAGGTCTCAGAAGTAAATCGTTTTCCTTGTGTCAAGTTATTGAACTGCCAGAAAAGAAAAACATATTATTAAGTAATCAGATAGTAAGCTGAAACTTCATATAAAAAATTGAAACACAATTATTTAAACTACTTACAGTCTCAGAAATCTGTGTATAAACTGGGTCGTTTAAATATGTAAAAGAGGTACCAGAATCAAAGATTGCAGTAAACTCTAAATCAGAGGCAGAACCCCCAACATCAATTTTATTGATGGTAACATAGTATGTTGGACTGACAAGAAATTTCAGTACAAGAAGATTAGTACAGCTCACTTGAATTGTAGTTCAAATGGACCAGAGAAAGGAAGATAAAAAAAACGACCACTTACTATGATTGCCCAAGAGAAAACGGTGTTTCTCCTTGGCCTGAGCTGCCTTGGTCTCCAAAGTTGATTCTTCCAAGACCATCAGTCGAAAAGCACATGGAAAAGGAATTTGGTATTAGCCCCTGACTTGCTAAGATGCTAGGAACTGATTGCTTGGCCATACCGAGACCAAAGAGACCATTAGGTGCTGCACCATCCAAAAGTAAACCAGTCTGAACGCGACCACAACTGCAATAGAGTAGCAAATCTAAATTTAACAGAAAAGTAACATAAATATATCAGTGGGAAATATATATATATATATATATATATATATATAGAATCTATGGTAGTATATTAACTCAATAAGTTTTGGACGAAACTTTTAAACCCTCTTACTGTATACAACATTACTTTCAATAATCTCTTTAGCATCAATAATATTAGGTCTAACAAAATCAAGATTCCAT